GCTGGGTAAAACTCATGGCTGCAAGCTTCACTTCTGCCATTATCTGAAGGCTTTAATTTCTTCTCTCAGTAATTGATCTGAGGACACTGGAGCGAGTTGCACATATGTCAGACTGTTTTCCTTCCTTCTTGCATTTTGGCAAAGTCTCCCCTGTGGAGGAAATTAATAAATTTCAGGGTGACATTTCCTTCTTCAGCCAAAAGAAGAGGGGAAAAAAAGCCTCCAGGTTCTTTCAGGTTCTTTTCATGCTTTAACTTTTTTTTTTTTTTTTTTAATCTTTCTCTGAATAAAGGAAACGTACTTTGTCAAGAGAAGTAAAAGATGGGAAATTTCCTAATTTGTGCAGTCGATATGCATTATGATCTGCTGAATGCATGTTGTTTGTGTACAAACACATTCACATGGGTATATAGGATGATCATGAATGTACCTGTATGCTAAGTGACGAATTTAGAAAGAGAAAGATGAATTACTTGGGAGGAGCAAGCAGCTGCAGTTCTGATGGGCACAATAAAAGTCTGTATTATTAACATAATCAGACTATCAATAGTTATAGCTAGGACATTTTTTATAAGCCAGCTTTGCTTAATTACTTCTCTATTTCATCATCATTTTGTCTGTTTCCTTTTCTGTATGTTAATGTATGAATACTGCTTTATTAAAAGAAGGAAAAGTTGTTTTAATTTTGGAAACTACCTTCTGATGCACTACAAATGGTCAGCAATCCACAGATTGTGGGTTATGCACTCCTACACCAGGGAGCGCATCTCATACTCAGCCCCACAGCTGTTGTGGTAAACTTCACTAAAGGATCTGAAGCTGACATCCATCAGAATTAGGAGTGCCTGTCTCAGTTTTTGGTTGACTTTACCCTGTCAGGATCACAGCTCCCAGCACCAGGCCCTCCCAGCCACCACGTGTTGGGTGCATTGATGGCACAGCACCCAGCATTTGTTGGTCTGACTGTGCCTGGCTCTGCTCCTCTTTTCACTTTCTACTTCTCCCTGTGTTGCAGTGCTGTTACTAAGCATTTCAGATAGCTGTCTGGACATCTCAAAGAGACAACTGAGGTATTAACAAAACATTCCCAATATATAGAATCTGTGTTTATGTATTATTTCACTGTGTAGCCCTGCATTTTACATCACTTTCTGGCCATGCTTCTTATTAAAACAAACATTGAAATCACTTTGAGTTGAAAACTGACATTTGTGTTGAAAAGGATTTGTAATGTGATTTAATTGCTTTATGTAATTGAAAAACAAAACAAAACATCACTGTTATGTGCTATAAATGATTCCTTTGTCTTCTACAAAATTTAATTTGTTTACATGCCCTGTAGCCATACTGAGAGAACAGAATAAATGGCAGTGCCTCTTTGGGTCTTTTTGAAAAATGAGTTGGGAATGGGAGAATGAGAGTGGCCAGAGGGCTATGAGAAGGAAGAGACGAGTGCTGAGATAAAAAGTAGCCCAAGGGAAGATTACAAGTCCTCAGAAAAAGAAATCAATAATGCTGTTAACTCTGCAGCTGCAAATACAACTACTTGTATTTGAAAACTTTCTCCCCTTGTTCATCACTATTCCGGTATATCTGGAATGCTCTCTGCCCTTTTGGAAGGGCAGCGTTTAATGAAAATTTAAAACCCTGAAGATGCCAGGATAGTATAGGAGCACTGGAAACACCAGCTCACCTTCTTCTGCCATTGCTTCTTCAGTGCGATGCAGGATCTGAGACTGCTGTAATTCACAAGTAACTCAAACAACTTTCCACTGATGCTGTCTCCTACTTTTTCCTTTTTACCTCCCTAGACCTTTCACCTTTTGACTCCCCTGGGAAACCATGATGAATTTCCACCTGGAAATTTCAGGCTCAGTGTTAGATAGTCTCTTTTTTTTTGTTGTTTTTGCTTATGGCCTTTCCTCCCCACCCTCTGAGACTTCTGACAAGGTCAAACAATCTATCTTTGTTTCTATGTTTATATCCGGGAAGCTCCCTCTGGTAGCACAATAGCATTTCAAATAGGACAGTTTGATGAAAACTGTAGATAAGAAAGATCCCCAGCCTGGTAAAATAAAAGATATGAAGAGAAATGAAAATGGTGTTCACACAAAATAAGTACCCACTACCTACTCTGGGGGTTCTGACCACAGAAAGCACACTACTAATGGCTCCACAGAATATAAGCTATCCTAGACAATGCTCTATACTTCATCTTGCTGACCTATTGAAAGAGAAAGACTAAAGTGTCTTTGTTATGTATTTTGCACTCAAGAATGTAGCAATAGCAAAGGCTAGCGCCCTAAGCACACATGAACTGAAAATGCAATGACTGAATCAAAGAAAGTCAATAAACATTAACTGGAAAGAAGAAGTTTAAGGGCCAATGAAAGCAGTCTTGTGTAGTTGAATATATTAATTGAATACATTAGAAGATAAGTGAAAAACTCAAACACAAAGATGTGAAACTGGAATGCTAGGAGTGCTTATGGGGAATATGGTGAAATAGCAGCCAAGGGGATCAGGAAGGAAGGCCTGAAAAGGAGGGAAGTGCAGGAAAGGAGGAAATGAAATCACAGGCAACGGGTATAAAAATGCCTCTTAAGTACTTGAAGGCAAATGTAAAAATAGTAATGGAAACCTCTCTGGAAAAGAAAAGAGATCAGCTACGAGCATGAGAAATGTAGAACACCACCATAGCAATAACAGAAATGGAAAAGAAAAGCATACAGTGGTTTCTCTGGGCTCAAGCTAGAACATTGACCACTCTGTGCAAGAGTTAGTGCTTGCTTATGGAATTATATGATTGTTTTCTGTGTGACACTGAGTCCAGAAAAATTGGTGTCAATGTGAATTACAGCCACCCATTCTTCTGGAAGTTCAAGCTTCCATTCTTTGCTACTCTTGTTTACAAACAGCATGTTATTTTATCTGGAAATAATGAAATTATATTAAGATATAGTCCAGATATAGTTTTGGTTTGAAAATATCACTGATCAACTGGAAAGCACCTAATTAAAAAACTCAGTCACTTGAAGGAAGGAATGTCATATAAGTCTTATCACCTCCGAGCTACTGATCTTCCTCTGGAACTGAACCACCAAATTTTGAGTTTCTATTTCCACAGCATCCTACAATGTGAAAGCAGTGACTGCGAGCAATCTGGTTATCTCCATTTCAAGCACACAGGCCATGTAGTTTCTATTCATGGGAGAAGTTTTAGAAGTTGGTTATGAAAACTCTTCTATTTCATAGGCTGTTTCAAAAGACCATTGGGAAACTTGGCTAATCCAATTGTGGGTGTGATTTAGAGTCACCTGGGACTGCTCTGAGCTATCTGCATGGGAGCAGCCTCTGGCAGGGTCCCTGCTGCTACGACTGTAAGATTCCTGGCCAAATCCTTGCTTTGCCCAACCCACCCGCAGCCCTTCTATAGCTATTGCCCATAGTGCAAACCCCCACAGTCCTTGTCAGGAAGGCTAATGCAGAGAGATGGATTCAGCTGTGCACACTTTGCTTCCTTCCTGGGGACCTCCCTTAGCCTCTCCTGCCAGAACAGCATTGCAGGTTTCCTTTATGACATCTTTCTATGGAGACAGTTTGAGTGGGCTGTAGCTGATCTTTGAATTTTCTTCTTTTCATTTCTCCGAGGAAAATAAATATACAATCAGAATTTTCTACTATGAAAATACAATCTCTCTATAGTAACACACAGAGCCATAGCTGCAAAGATAACATTTTTTTCCATTTTCCTTCCCCACTTTGCCTTTTCTGGTACAAGGCAAAATCCTAATCTTTAAAATGTTATTAGCATTCAAAAGTGAATTGTCTAAATCTGTATTTCCTTATTATTTTGAATTCTCATAGGAACTGGCCTGCAAATGTAGCACAGGTAGCAAAAGCTCTAATAATACCACTTCTGGGCTTTTTGTTGTTGTTGTTGTATTCTCATTAGTAAAGTGGATCCTAATAAGTTAGTCAGGTAAGGAATTTTTTGATGTCGTCAAAACCTCAGAAATAGATACAATAGAATGACCTCAAGAATCCTGTTTTTTCTCTGGCTGTCAAACTGAGCGATTTCTCCTGAGCGCTATCAAAGACCATTAAAATCTCTTTCCCACTTTCCTTTTATCTCTAACTGGGGACAGTCATTTGCAAACACCTTTATGACTCTTACCCACAAAACTTCCTTATCTAACTGAATGTGAATCACTTCAAAAGGAGGCACATTTCTCCTGGCAACCAAAGCAGCAGCCTTAGCAACAAGACAGCTGGAGAATTTTATTTTCACTTAGTTACTTGTGGACAGTATGTTCTGTTTCTGCTTTCCCATGGCATTGCTCTTTCAGTGTTGATTTAGTATTGTGCTAGAAATGGTACAAGTCAGTCACTGGCGCACAGCAGAGACATCACTTGCAGGACAGCTGATGATTTTTATACCTATGATGCTGTTTCCTCTAAGAAATGGTGTAAGAGTACTGGCTGCTGGAAAGCTCAAAATGTGAATTTCCCCCATAACAGAATTACTACAAAGAAACGTGAGGAAGCTGATGGCTTCCAAAACATTGGCTTCCCCCCACAGAGAACATAACAGAGAATGATATTAAAATATTAGCTCTACAGGCTCACATCACAGCCTGTCTTAGCATCTGTTGATGCTGAGAACAGTTTGGAAAGTTGTTATGAAGTGACTTACACTGATTTTCTTAGCAGGAATAATTTTGGGAGGAAAGTTAAAGTGGGTGGAAGTGAAAAAATCAGAGCAATTTTGGGTATTACTCGGGCTAATGTCTTTATAGAACTGTTGAGGATGTTCAACAAGAAAGCAATGCTATGATGGCACTTATCAACAGACTGCTATTGTAATAGTTTTCCTGCCCTAATCCTGCATGTGGGTAAGGAAATGAGTTATATATTTTAACCTTATTAAGAAATTGAATTTACAGGTGTAAATAAATAAATAAGTGCATTCGCACCTTCACCCGAGTCTCCTCCTGCAGGGGCTGTTGATATCCTGCGTGCTGGTTTGACTCCTTTACTCGTACTCAAATTGAAGACCGAGTCGGATGAAATCCAGGAGCTAATCCTAGGCACACTCTCCAACTGTCTGCGTGTGGAAGCTTCTGAAGCTTTGGCAACTGATGCCATCACCATTCTGAAGGAAAAGCTCACACATCCCTCAGTGACCATCAGAAGCAAAGCAGCTCAGGTCATTTTAGAAATCGGGTAATGCAAATCTATAGTACTTATCCCAAGAAAATACTAATTCCATGACTGTATCAAGTCACATTTCACAAGTAATATCAGCCTGTATGCACCTGCAATGCACATGTAGATAGAAGACTTTTAAAGTATGCTGCCACAAATCACTCAGAAAGCAAAAGTTAATGAGAAGTCATTCCTTCTCTTCCTATTTGTCTTTCTATACTAGCAATGAAATCAGGGCTTTTCCTGGTACAGCATCGCTAGGAAGAAAAGCTTGCATGAGAAATCATGGGCAAACAGGTAGGGAAGAAGCTCCCTTACTTTACAGGGCAACTGCTTCCTCAAAAAATTAAAGGTCTTTATATTAAATTTGTATATTAAACTGGGTGAAAGTCCATTGTCTGACAATCACACACAAAAGTGCTCGATGGATGCCTGGCTTAAAAAGGTCTGCAATTTTTGTTGTTTGGATAATAATTGGCACAAAAATCTTCTTAATTTCCAATAACAAAATTAGGTCTTAGAGAAGGAGACTGTAGATACAGTGAGTGATAGAAAAAAGTCAGGAATTGACCTACAGTATGGACATCCTCTGCTTTCTATGTCACTGCAATAGCAGGACAATGTTAAATATTCCCCACATTAAAGAGGCCGGAAAGAAAGACAGAATTGACCTAGAAAAAGAATTCCTTGCAGGCCACTAATACAGCACTTGGTTTACATCTGTGTAGGATTCAACAGCCAGGTTTCCAACTAAAGTGCAGTTAAGACCAGCAGCACTTCTTTCTGAATCCTGTTCCTCGTTGCAAGTTTCTTGCAACTTTCTATGTGCCATAACAGTAAATAAAAAAATCCAAACACCACTTAAAAATAGCCTAAAAATTGTTAAATGTCTGCACGTAGGTTAATATGATACAATCTGTGATGTTTCAGCAAGTAGACTTAACAGACACCAAGTATGAGCAGACATCCCCTCTCTCTTTGTGACCAGACCACAGTGCTTGCCATCTGTCTAACAGTCAGAACATTTTGACTCCAAAGAGAACAGTGCATAGGGCCATGTCAGCCCTGCTGTCAGGAAACAGAGGGCTACTGCAGGGGGCCAGGAATGGGGAGAAGCTATGGATGGTGACATGGTTAGCAGACATCATTCAAGAAAGCATCTTCACTGTCTTTTCTACACAGTACCCATCCAGAGGGAAAAACCACAGTGTGTGAAGAGGTCATTCCACTACTGGTGAGCTTGTTAGAAGATACAGATCCTGAAGTCCAAGCTAGTGCAGCAGGAGCACTGATGTTCGCTACCATTAAACCTAAGGGTGAGAAGAAGAGGCGGGTCTGTTGGGCTGCTTTCTAGAAGGAAACTTAAAAACAAAATCTATGCCCCCATCCCCAACCCCACAAATCCTCATTTTCTAACAGCATGAAATCTGTACAAGAATTTGTAAGATTAGGGCATTTCTTTACATCTGTCTAAGAACAGTTGCTGATACCACTGTGCCTAGAGATTGCAGTATATTCCACATTCCATTTTCCTGAAGTAGATAAATAATTGCCCCAGCTGTGTCATTTCCCTCCAGAGTGCTGCACCAGAGGGGAACATTTTCTGTACATGTCCAGAGATCCAGATACCTGGAGCTGCTCAGAATCAGTCCTACCGAGCACTACTTCCTGGAAACCTTTTTTTGTGGTTAGAGGCAGTTTCTCTGTCACAGCTAAGAGAGGAGAGAATATTATTAATGCCTGTTGTTCTCTCAAGTAAGTTACAAGACACTGAAAACACTAACTGCTGAATGTTCAGTGTGATGAGCGAATAATTAGAATTAAAAGACTCTTAATAACAGTAGTTGTGTTCCAGTCCTCCTCTGTAACTGTCCCCCCTGGTTTCCAAAAACAACACAGGCATGGATCTCTGTATTTGAAATGTCTTTAAAAATAAAAGAATGGAGGATATTCTTAAGGGCATCTAATCCCCCCCCAAAATAGTTTATCCTATCATTTGGTACATCGTACCTCCTTAGATGCTGAAATGAAATAACAACGTGCAAAGCACATAATGTTTACTGAGAAAGATCTATTTCCATAAAGATAAACAGCTAGCTGGCAGCTAGCTCAGGTCTGGAAAAGCAAAGCATGTCCTGCGTCACACCACACACTCTGGGGTGTTGTTCAAAGCTGTAACAGGGCAGGAAGTCAAGAGCAGCAATTCAAAATCTTGTTGATTATATGTAATAATACACTTTAAAGCCAGTTTATTTTTCTGCAGGGAGATGCTTAGCACTACGTGCTGAAGCCATTCCACGGTTACTGAAGTTGGTTGCTGAGGAAAACAGCAGAGCCCGTCTGAGTGCAATCAAAACCCTCACCATGCTGGCAGAAGTAGCTGAGGGTCGCAGGAAGCTCCTAGAACATACAGACACGTTTCAGCAGTGCCTGAGGGACCCCAGCGAGGCAGTGAAAAGAGCTGCTGAAATTGCCATCAGAGTCATCCAGTGGAAACCTTTCTGAAGATGTGGCGTTTCACAGAGATCTATTGCCCTCTGTTGTTGCCTCACTGTAAAAGATGCATGATTATATGCAACGTTCAAAAGCAAAACTCTATTCTTCTTTCATCCTAAAAAGTCATTTGTCAGCAGTCTTATATCTGTGTTACAGGTCACAAGGAAAGTAATGGGGAAAAAGAAAAGCTAACAAGTCTAGCATACTCCACCAGGAGTTATCTCCTGAGATACCATACCAAGATTTTCCTGAGATATAAGAAATTGGAGTTTTGCTGCAAACATATCTTGAGCACAGGATTAGAATTATTTAGAGCATCACTGCTGGAAAAGCAATGGCAAAGTCACAGACTTTTCTGGGGTAACCTGGTAACACTAGTGGGAACAGAGCCACTAATAAAAGAGGCTCTGGTTAGAATATGGAAGAAACATGCCTCTACATCTGTGCTGTTACCTGATACTTTGTAGTTTTGTACTGTAGTCTACCCTCTAATGAAGAAAATCAACAAAATGGAGGTACTGTGCCAGAATGAAGGAGTTCTACTGTTGTGGCTCATTTGAAAGGGATGGGAAGGGTCAAGAGGAAAGTCAACCTTATACAGTTTAGTCCAACAAGAGTTGGACAAGACAGTCTCCAGATGTTCCTTCCATTAGTATTCTGTGATTAACAGCTGTCTGAGCAGAGAGATGAGGAGATAAACAAAACAGAATTGAAAATGTCAGTTCCCTACATTGAAAAAAACTTGTATTTTTTCTCCTTTTTTTCCCACTTTTTTCTAATTCAATGGTTTAAAAAAAAATGACTTTTACTTCATAGAATTGAATATAACATCAAAAGTTCAAGCTGTCTGAAGCAAGCTTATCCAACAAGACATAAATTGCCTGAAGGAAAATAAGGCAGTTTCTGATTTTAGAGCTGATGAGCAGTTGAAACTGGGGAAGTTCAGTAGCATTTAACTCACCATGTAGTCAAGGTAGATCACTACTGATATTGCAAATTTCTCTGCATTTGCTAGTGTGTAACATGAGAATGATAAACAGAAGGCCTGGCAGGACAAATCCTGCCCACTAGTAGTGCTCAAGACAAGAATCATCGTGCAGCTGACTCAACTTCACAGGAAAGCCCACATTTCCACTCACGTTTTGCTACTGAATAGCATTCTTCTAGAAAGAAGTTACCATGGCTAAAAAGAAGCTGCACAGATGGGGTTGTTTGTCATGCTGCACTTCCACTGTAGGAGCCCAGTGTTCCTCCCACTGTAAAGCACAATCTTATACTAGCCACTGTAGGTGCGATTAAAGTTAAAAGATTTTTCTTCCATAACCTAACCAGAGGGAGAATTTCCTCTCCTACAAAGATGTGATTTAAAAGCATTGAATCAGATGGATTCATTCCCTCTGGGCAGGGTCTTGCAGGGGCTTTGCCTTTTCAGCACACTTCATGTACGTAAGGCACTCACATGTAATAGATATAGATGCCTGAGTGCATCCAGTTCAATAAGAGAGAGACAGGCAGCTTAATAACAGGGAAACCGTTCAGCAAAGGACTGGGGAACAAGAGAGAACAGTAGTTTCACCTACATTTACAAAACTGCTGCAGGAAAATGCAGTAACAATCATTTTAGCTCAAGCATCTGTCACAGCCTTCCCCCCTGTAATTCAGGTATCGCATTTCAGCGAGTTAGCAAAATAATTATCTTGCTCAGATGAAGGAATAAGACTATCCCGACTGAACTGCTGTGACAAGAAGAAATTTAGCTGACTTGGACCTTAAGTACCACATCTGAGCTTCTCCTTGATAGTTGCTTTAAAGAACAGTATGAGCTGTTTCCAAATAAGACTCTGCCATGGTGTCTGTGTCTTGTCTTACATAAATGCACAGTACAAGAGCAGAGCAAAGCCTTAGCTGAGCTCTGGTGTGAGAGTGCCAGCCTCTTCCTAAATCTCCCTGCTTTGGCAGTGACTGGAAGGCAGAATAGAAGCTTACAGCTCTGAGACAGTAGTAAGGAAATAAAGCAATCAGGAATAACTCATTGAAAAAGATTTTTAAAAAAAGAGGAGTGGCAAAAAAAACCCAGAAATATTCAGACTTGCACAAAATGTGTTTGGAAGAGAAAAACAAGACAACAAAAGCCTAATGGCATGTACAGAAATTATCAGGTAAGAATTGAGTAGAAAATACACAGAACACAGCTGGATTTTTCAGGATTCGAATTCTCAGTATTTTTAGTTTTCACTGTTAAAACTTTCATTCTGTAATTTAGCATATAATCACTTTATGACTTTTCTTACCTAAAATGAAAAAAATCCTTATGATTAAGGATTTACTTTCTCCTCTGAGGTACATTATGTCTTGAATCTAACAGAGAACAGGATGTATTGAAGTTACACAAACACTAATGTGTATGTTAACCCAAGGTATCCTTTGATCTTAGCAATGCTTTACTTCTATCAGTGATTACTTAATTGCTGAGTATCACCTTGTTCTTAAGGCAGAGCACAGAAAGAAAAATGCATATGAAACTTTTTGACAAGTGACATTCTGGTGAAATGAACAGGTCACCTATAATAGCAAGTCCAGTGGTAGGAACAGTTTTGGTCATATTCCCCATGAATTTCCCCAGCAAGACAATGACACTGATGTTACGTGATCCTAAATGGACAACCCAGAGAACAGAGAGATTTCTAGGAACATTCCAACCTATATTCCATGATTCCACATCACAGATTTAGTCCTAGACATGTTTGTTGTGTCCCTTACATATGAGAAGTGCCAGGGCTACCATAGCTAACTGCCCACTTTGAGATGAGCCAACAGACCTTAATTTGCACAGCTTGGCAATTAATTGGCACTCCAGACATCAATAAAATGATTGGATCAAAGAAACACAGCAACATGACTGACAAACACTTCCCTTTGAACTGACCTATCTTTCAGTCAGTTATACTCAATAATAAAGTTGCAACAGACTCGGTCACCCAAATGCTAACTATCCCTTTGTATTGCTTCATACGTGTTACAAACACTTCAATTAACATGTTAGGATCTGGCACTGTCACACACTATAATTAAACTCATTGCTTCAAAAGAACACTGTGCATATAGCAAGTCTTTAGCACTTTCTGCTCCAGTGTTCTACGCTATGACAACATCAGCACCTCAGCTGATTTGAACATCAATGGAAAATGATTAGCCTTTCTGGCTTGAAGCCAACAATGATTAAGGCCCAGATATAATTACTGTCCTAGGTCGATACTGGAATTAATTCACTTGCACCCTGCGCAGATCAAGCTTTCAAGTCGGCTGCCTGACATCTCCCACTGACATCAGCAGAAGAACAGACACATTCCTGGGAAGTGAGATCCTTTTCACAAGCCATGTGCGCAGCATCCCACACAGGTACAGCTCATTTTGAATGCAAAGATTAATATTATTTTTTTCCTAGCAGTTTCCAGGAGGTAAAGAATATTATGTCCTTTGTTTTTGCAACTACAGCCTCACTGTCCTGTCCTCGTTTGGTTTTGAAAGTCCAGGAGCTAGAAACCATTCTGCTCTCATATAAATCCTGCCCTGGGAAATAGCAGCTTTTAATCTATCCAAGTTCCAAAGCAGGGAGTACTTTTGCTTCCCACCACTGTACTTTCTATTTAAAAACAAACAAACAAAAAAAGGAATAAAATTCATATTAAAAATGCTAAGTGAGATTTCTGTCTCTAGAGCAAGTACAGAGTTCAGGTCAGTCAGGTTTGGTTGACATTAAACCAGGAGAGGATTTATTTTCTGTGGCTACACGCAAAGCTATATACTGAAAGATTCAAGCCCAGAGCCTACTTTTAGGAATACTATTGTGTCAAAATTTGTTGACTTGAATGAATGACAACTATTGCAGCTGTCTGATTTAAATGCCATTTGAAAAGAAGTTCTTAAAGTCATAAGTTCTGACACTATAACAAAATAACAAAAAGGGGAGCTCGTGCCTACCTGAGCTGGAGGCTCTTCCAGGTTCCCCAAGGCAAGCAGGGAGCTGCTGGCTGCAGCACATACAGCTGCTGGGGCCTGAGCACTGCCAGGTGAGCAGGGGTTGGGCTCCACAGCACCAGAGGAACTCTTCTGCAGCTTGCTGTGGTAGATAACAACAAGATTGAGTGTTCCTCAGGAGGAAAAAATAATCTGGCCTGTTTTATTAATAGCAAGGGCAATAACCTCAGGCACTAGTGATGGTAGCCTTTCATCGGCTAGATATTGGAATGAGTCAAGTTGTGCTCCATTCTTTACATTCTCTAGAACAGCCCTGAAAAACATGCTGCATAAAAGATGCCATGGATCACCAAGTAAACAAAATGGTTTGGTTTGGAATTGCTCATCTTTCTTAGCCACGTATTGCCCTCTGCTGTTCCACGTGTGACACCGCCTGCGGGGCTGAGCACCGGGAGCTCATCCTGAGCCATTCCCTCACATCTCACTGCCTCCCAGTAACACTGCACATCCAGAACACAGAGAAAGAACATTAATCCTCCCTCAGAACAGCTTACCTGTGACCCTGCTCCCTGCAGTGTGACTGCCAGTGAGCAGCAGGCTCAATGCCCCTCCAATCCAGCCCTTCAAACAAATGACTTGAGAGCGAATGCAGCTCTGCACTCTGAATGGCAGCCACCACCAGTGGCACACACCTCATCTCTGCCCTTTGTTGTTGTGTTAGTTTTACTTCATATAATTTTTTCCTCATTTTGGCAGTGGAAAAAGTGACTCAAGCAGGAGCAAAGCTCGTTAGTGATGGCAGCTGCTGACATTCCTGGGTCCAGGACAGTCACCTGTGCTGAGAGAACTCAGCCTTGTGCTCTGTGCCCTAATGCACCACAGACATACTGGTTAAAACCAAGCTGTGATTACTGCACCTGTATTCCAAGTTAAGCCACAGACCTACACTCCCTCTTTAACCATTGCACACCAAAGCATGAGCTTTTGCTACGACAAAGCTGGAAAAAAAAAACAAATTCTGAGTTCTAAAAAGAGTGTTATAACCAAAGTAGTTAACATTTGCGAGGAAGTCCAATACATTTGTTGAGTGATACAGAAAAATGAAAACATAAATGATGAGTGGTTACCCTTCTTAGGATTGGGCCTGAAAATAATCTAATTCTCAAATAAAATACCTGACTTGCCTTGCCTGTGTTCTTTATATATCAGTGTTGCAATTGGCCTACAGTGCTACTAGGTGAATTTTTAATTGCAATTTATCTTATTTTGTACAGTCTATTTAAAATAATTCTGTATGTCTAACTATAACCCACTGAAGTAAGTTGTAACCCTACATCTCACCTGCCAGGGTAAGCTAGGATGTTTCAGGATCACCTGAAACAGAGCTGTGTTATGCTGCACGTGATGCATGTACACTGCTATCAGCCAGAGACAGCAAGTGGAGAGACACATTACAGAAGGATTTCCAAACTTCCAGTCAAACATGGGAACAAGAATCCCTGCCCAGGGCAGTGTAAGCATCTTTGGGGTTTTCTCTTTTTCTCTGTGTGCCCCACAGCAACAACCATTCTTCTGAAAAATGAAGAAAATTCACTTGCTTCCTTAAAGCCATGATGTTGCCCTTGAATGCAACACCTACCAAACTTAGGTGACATTTGTTAATCTATTAATTATTAACATATTAATCTAGAGATACCCGTGGTAAAATTGCGTGGCTATGTGAAATCCTACAGAATTAGAGCACTCCAAACAGGAGTCAGACTACAAGGAAACGTTTGAACCTTGGTCTCTACAACAGGCAGTTCTTAGACCTGAACAAAAGCAGCTTGTTGGGGACGTACAATGAATGGCTCTGTCAAAGAGTTAATTTTTCAAAATCCTTTAACCCTGGGAAAGAAGATGAAGTGACAGTGACTGATTAATGAGGAGGTCATCTAAAGGCTGATCGGGCTACCAGGAAATCACTTGTGCTATTTGCCTTCATCCAAGTGGTTGTGTAATTTCACTGTATTTTCCTTCTGTAACAAATAGTTACAAAAAGTCCTTGTGACAACAAGGAATCTGGGCAGTCCTCTTCTGGAGGCTTTCTTACTTGTTTGTTGTCCATTCCTATTAAGCAGAACCAAAATCTAGACACCAAATTAAGTTTCTCTGATTTCCATTACATTCTTTAGAAGTCTCATCGTTTTGTGGACACCAAATGCTTCAAAACATACAAATACTTTAATACATAAATGACTTCAAAGTCTGTTAAATACAATTCATTCCATGGTCTTTAAAATACTCTCTCACTTATTAACTGCAAGAAAAAGCTTGCACTGATATTTATATAGTACTGATTTAATCTGGCTCGTGCAAACCTTTTCAGTATACTGCAGGGTTTGTAATGAGGACCAGCAGAGCACTTTGTTTTAGATGTAAATAAAGAGAAGATATTGTGGGATGATAAAGTGAGGACTAAAGCTGGAGGAGCTGGCAGCGACGTGGTGGGACGTACAGAGGTGACAGCAGCTTTATTGAGATGCACCTGTCTCAGGGCACTTCTGCTGCAGAATGCTGTGGGAAGACACACGGTGCTGAAATGCTTTGAGACAACACAGCATGCCATGGTACATGTGCAACAGTAACAAGGAATTGTGCTGTAGCTTGACTACAGAAGCTGGTGTCTTCTTTCTACATTTGATTCCCCAAGAGGCTGAATTACCCATAGATTAAGAGATTTATTGCTTTCTGACTTGAAGTGTTACACTGTCTTCTCCTGTATCTCCAGCAGGTCTCACACTTAGCAAGTGGAGCCAATCAGACTGCCTTAGCTGGTATCCCACAGCTGTGGCTGTTCTCCTTCATGGACTCACACTGTCATCCTGAAATTTCATACAGCATGAATTGTATTTCTCAATGCAGTCTTCAGAAGAAAGATTTATAGTCTTTCAGTGAAGTGGTACAAAGCCCTCAAACATTCTGAAAAGAAAAATGCAAAACCAGTACTCATGCTTTGGACTTTCAACAATGTTCACGGATTGTTTTGTAGTACAGCTCATAGAAAGAAGCAAAACATTAACACCATCTCCAGGATAAAGAGGTCCTAACAACTGTGGGTAGAGATTAACTTCGACATACCAAGATGGGAATCAATCAGTAATAAATAAATAAATATATATATACACACATACGTATATTCTGATATATAATATATATGTGCATATATATAATGTAGTGTATGTATATATAATACATGTATTTTGTATAAAAAAAGTTTCACATTCAAGTATAGATACACATTAAAATATACAAGAGGGGACCGTTTGAAGTTAACCTTAAGCAGAGAACCTATCATAAGCAGAATTCCTGACAGGATAACTGAATCCTGTTTTGACCAGTTTCAAAAGGCAGTCAGTTCAGATGGTTCATTTCCACTCATTATTGAGAAACACAAGATGATGAAAAATATCGTAGAAAATGAGAGTGGAAAGAAGTGACAATGGAAAATTAGATGCAGTATCAAATGCACTGATATATACAAAAGCCCTTTACTGCTGTGCTTGGAGAGAACAAAAGTGATTTTTTAGTTTGGCCCACAATGTGGCCCCTCAGTTGTTTGTTGGTTCTTTTTTTTTAGTAATCAAATTATCATAAGCAATGGAAAAAAAAAACCAACCTGAATGATCAGAAGAGTTGAAAATTAAAACAGTATCATTGGCCCCAAGAGATAATTCACAAACCCTGATAAATGGCTCATGAAATGAGCCAATGGTTCGTGCAGTCTTGTTCTGCACCTAAAATATGAAATGTATCATGAGGAGAATATTGGATGGAAATTCTGAACCTCTATTAATCCTGGACTGATTCAATTTCCAAACGGAAATTCTCTTTCTTGAACTCCCAGTACTCTTGATCTTGAGATTGTTGAAATTATGATCACAAAATCAGTAAGTAAATTACCCTGATTTTTACAAACTTAGAGCATGAAAATACTAAATGAATCTGTGTAAGTTTACAACTCATTGTTTCTGCTTGACAATACAGTACGATTTCAGAACTGCAATCAGAGGCTTATGCAAAAAAGGCATGGCAAAATACAGCCACAGTCAGTAGGATGATGCCATTGATATTCACAACATTCCTCCAAAGCGGCACTTCTGATGTGTCAGTCAGTTTCTTCTTCAGAGCTTCCTCTTCCTCCTTGCTCAGTTTGGGTCCCTTTTGTTGCTCTAAGCCACAGAACCAGTTGTAAGCTTTCCTTAGGCATCCTGGCTCTTCACTTTCCTCTGAAACTGGAAGGAATAGCGTACTGGTCATGAAATGTAGTGTAACACAAGCAGTCCATGCTTACAAGTTCCCCGTGACTGAGCTCCATCCTATATTTAATATAGTAGCTCTGATTTATGGTCTTACTTGCATGGAAGCTTTTAAATACATTACAGAGCTGTACAAGAATGAAATTAATATTGTGTTTTCACAGCTCACTTGGAAAAAAGTGTGATTTTCTAAATACTGCAAGAAGGCCTTCTACAGCATAGAGACTTGATCTGGTTGTGAGAAGCAGATCACGCTGTTACCTCATTTTTTCCCTACTTTCTATACTTTTAATTAAACAACAAATAGATGAATTATAGAATATTTATGAAAAGGAACCTGGCAGCAGAATGAGAAGCCCAACAAAGGAAGCAGGAGATTTTGCTCAGATGGATGTCTGGCAATTAGTTTTCCTTTTGTCCTTGCTCCTTCAGTCCTGGCTACTACGCTCTATTTCAAAATGAATTCTCCTTGTTTCATTGCAAGTGCCAGAGTTGCATGCAGTTTTGCCAGTGCACACCACTGCTAACATAAGCCTAGAACTGGCACCTAGCCACCTAGAGAACAAGTATTTCTCCTGTCACTTCTGATCTGCACTAGGACTCTATTTAAAGGGCACCTCACCAGCCCTTTAAATCTGGGCTGAGGTTTTGTTGGTGGGGCGTATTGTTCTATGAAAACTATGCAGACTATTGTTTGTTCAGGAATGGAGTACGGATTCCAAACATATTGATGGCATCTCAGATACTGCAACAGACATTATTAAGCAGTTACCTGATTCCTTATCTTTTTCATCAGGTTTCTCCTCCTCATCATCTGCATCGAGATCAATACGTTCCTCTTTGCTGTTCCGCAAAGTCCAGCACAAGCGATAAAGCTGCCATTAAAAAAAGAAGTTTAAAACTAAATCCTGAGTACAGAGACCACAGCATCCCAAATGTCTGATAAGTCAGTGCCTTAGAACGTTAAGAGTCACTGAAGCTCAGTGACAAATAAAGACTATCTCCTTTGGTTTCTTACAAGGACTATATGATGTAGATAGATGAAATGTGACAATATACCAATTAACAGTGTTTAAAACTAGTGATAAACTTCATTTCTCTAGGAGCAGAAGTGCAGTAATACTCACATGTACATCAGGAATTGGTTTAGTCATGAAGGAGACTGCCAGGATAACGATGGCAGAAATCCCAAACAGAATAATTGCAAAATAAAGGTAGTGAATCCCACAGATGATGAACGGGCAGTTGGAAGGGGCCACACAGCTACCAGTTCCATAGGCAAACTCTGATATCATTCTACCAAGTCCAGCCAGCAGCCCAACCACGAGGCCCCAAAAGGCACCCTGCAGAAAGGGACAGAAGTTAGCAAAAAGAGCACACTGTAACTCCTGAAGAGCTGCTGGGGGAAACATGCAAGTTTGACATGTTACCTTGACTTTGGCAATTTCAGCCATTCCATGAGTTCGTGAAGTCAAATAACTAATGACTGTAACACAAACCTGGAGATCCCAATTTAAACATATTCTAGTTCTGATGGTTAAAAACAAATACAGTTTTAATTTTTCAGTGGTCAAAGTCAGAAAAAGTTTTAGAAGTAGAATAAGGTAGTTAATTCAAGTTCTAGCTAAAATAAAAATGTTTCTGAACAAGAAATACTGATAAATCATATAAACAATTACAATATTGGAGTTCATTTTATGCATTTTAAGCTTTGATACTTATCTGTACTACTTATCCACCTTTGAAGAATGCTGTGTACACAAACACATGAGGATTATATTAAATTCTAACTCAGGCAAAATTCCAGCTGCAATCACAGATCAACTGCAGATTTCCACAAAAGGCACACAGATTCAACCCATCTGTGAGATGTATCTATACTGGGATAGCATATAGAACATCCCTTTGTGCATAAAGCAGAATCTTTTGGACATACACACAGATAACCACTGAAATGGTCTTGAGGGAAAGCAGTCAGAAAATGTTTCATCCAAATTAAAAAACAGAAAGATGCCTTTCTCTCTGTAGGCTTTCTCATGAAACTATTTCTTCTTGGAGCAAACCTGAGCCATTAGCAAATATTATTCCTAGCACTATAGGAAAGAAACTGAAGTCCTGAATATTGAGTCTTCAGAATGTTTGAGATCCCAGTTAATGTGGCTGGCTTATGGTCCCAAAGCATAATCCAGACCTCATCCCTTCTGATTTACTTACTTAAATATCTCTCAATTCACTGTTCTAAAAATAAAAATCAGAAATTCCTAGAATGGATCCAAAAAGCAATGGGAAATAACAGAGGAATCAACAGTATATTTGTTGAAAAGCTTGCTGACAAATGTACAGAACATCCAAGACAAAGGTGAAAAGTGATATGTTTGGTTAAAAAAAAAAAAAAGATAACTAAAGCAACATGCAGCTTTATTATTTCCTGGGTTGTACTTGCCTGCTCATTTACTCGCTTGCAGAAGACAGCAAGCAGGAAGACAGCAGCAATGGGAGGTCCCAGGTAGCTGGTAACTGACTGAATGTAATCAAAGAGCTGCCCGCTTTGAGCTGACTGCACCACAGGAACCCAGGCGATGCTGATGCCAATTAAAACCACCATAAATGCCCTGCAAACATAGCCAGATATTCTATTAGCCACCTGCTAGGAAGCATCTATCAGAAACAGCAATTAATCAATAATTTAAATGTCTATTTTGTATTTCAACCAGCAAAATCAATGAAATGGCCAATTACCATTGAATGAACAAAAGTAATTCAAGTTGGGCATCATGTCTGTCAAACACCAGTCATCATACAGCTAAACATGCAATTAAGACACAGAAAATAACTTTTTTCCTTTGTTATGACTAGAAATGAACCAATAGCAAATAAGCTAGAAGAACTAGTTAATTGATGCTGCATATGGTGCAGCATAAAGCCTACGAAGGTATCTGTTCCCTTTGAACAGCAGTAGGAACTAAGTGTTGAACATTTGTTTAGCCACTGTCTATTAAATTGGACATAAGGTCTGAAAATTATTATCATAAAATATCCAGAAGGGAAAGCACACATGGGACAGCCTGCCTGGCCACAGGAGGCCACTGCTGCACTGCCTGAACACTGCAAATACAGATTTTCACTCAGGCACTTTTTTGGAGGCTTCTCAGGTGTGCTGCATTTCTGCCTTACCTTCCAGCTAACATAAGTTCTTTCTCTGATGGTCGTTTTCTAATTTTGGTGTAAATGTCCATAGTGAACAGCGTACTAGCACTGTTAAAAATGGAAGTCAAGGAGCTCATAAGGGATGCCAACATGACTGATAACATCAGACCTCGTAGACCTGGAAAACAAAGACACTCCATACATTAGGTGGGATGGGCATTCAGTGAAGCGTGTCGATACACAGCACCATCCATAGAGACTGCCTGATCCCTTCAAGTCAGCCAGCTATGTGTATGTCTGGCACATTTATGTGCTGATGCCTGCCTGCCACTCTCTTGCAATGCAAGCAGAGTGATGCTGCTGAGCTTCAGAAAAGCTATTTACAGCAGTGACAGGACAACGTTTGAGCTTTTAGAGTGTAGGTACTTCCTGTAGGAATGCTTTCAGATTAGATGCTGAAATGAAAACTAACAAGCAGACTTCACCCACAGTTATAAAATCATTTCTCTTGAATTCAATGCAGTGCTCGGTTGCCCGTGGTATATTTGTAAATCAGATGACAAGTTTCTTTTACTGATTAAACATCAAGGTACTGATTAAACAGGGGTAAAATCACTTTTCTAAGCAGCATGACCTAATCAACATATTATGGGGAAGTATGATAGTACTTTAATAAGACTATCTTCAACATTTATGAAACAATGGGGAATTATAAGGAGATCAAGGAAGTACCACGGTTTGCATAATACCATAATCTGTTTTTCTAGCCTTCTGAATCAGCTTTGGTTTTCTGCAGAAGTTTTTCTTTCTTGTCTCTATAGTCTTCTACAGATTGGTGCCTCATTCTCTCACTGAACAGGTGTTATATGGGACAATGTCTTCTCCCACCTCAGTGGGGTTGGCATAAGAACTGCAGGTGTACACCTACAGCTCAGACATCCTGAGTCCTTTATAAAACAGGCAAAGTAAGTTACTGTTGACCTTCACAGGGAGGGGGAACAATTAGAATGTCATTGCTCAGTATCTGCTGAGAGCTGACATTGTTGGCATGCAACTATTCTGCAGCTACAGCCACAACCAATTAGGATTACTTACCCCTTTGACTAAGAGTAAATATTTTAGCAAGATTTTTTTTTTAGCTAAATCTGAGACTTGGGCTTTCCCTCGCTCATTTTTTACAGTCTGGCAGCCTCACCTTTCCTAAAACAACAAATAAAAATAGCGTCTTACCATTTGGCATAAGCTCTACTACCATTTTTGGATAAGCAATATTTGTACAGCCCACGGAGGTGCCACAGGCCTGCATGCAGACTTCAGGCACAGCACAAGCCACCACATCTGAGAAGAGGATAATGAGACACAGTTAGACAAGGTCCTATTAACAAATATGCACCAAACCACTGGACTGACATGTTCTATATCATCCTTGGTCTGCTAGCAGGATGGAAGGTGATTCTAAGCCACCATTTTCTCTTTCCTCTCTAAAAAAAAATTACTAAAAATTGCTGCAGATCAAAAAATACCAGAATTAATTTCTCAGACCAGAACTCAGTAACACAAGAAAAGCAAGTCAAATAAAAAACAGAGGAACACAGTTTTCATTCAACCTAAACACCTCTTCTCTGTCTGTGGGTTTGTGGATTTGTTCAGTGTAGTCAGTATTTGTGCCTGAACAACTGTATGACAAGACAACAATCTAACAGGTATTTAGGACAGAGAAAAGAAAATTGAGAGAGATTGCCAGTGAAAGATTGGCAGCAGGAGGAAATTTGCATCCCTGTAAATACATGTGTATACCTGGATACAAAATTCGGCTGATCATTCCAGGCATCACTATGATAAACATGGGCAAGAGCTTCAGGTATCCACACATCACACACCCAGCCTTCACATGGGACATGTTCTTGCCAGAGAGACATCTTTGGACAATAACCTATCAATGAGACATGACAGGCACACATGACTCAATCAATACCATGAACACACCAAACCACATTCCAGACACAAAGTACTCCCTAACCTGGGTGATGGTGAAAGAGCCTATTTATGATTTCCAGGTAAACATAACCTCTACCAGGAAAACATAAACACTACATGAAAATACATTTAAAATAAGTAAAGGAAAATAACATTTATTCAGCACATGTTCAAGAGCTAATACTCTTTTGTTCTCGAAAGTTATTTATAAAGCAAGTCAAGAGACAAAAAAGAAGAAAATAGATATTTACATTGCTTTTTAAATTTGCTTTATAAACTATGAAAAATTATCCTTCTCACAATTCAGAAAGCAGAGAGATCACTCTCTTCAGATTGAACATCTATGTATGTCACAGTTGCAGGAGCACACTTTTCTACTTTCATGCCAGTGTGATCTCTTTGGGAAGCTGGATGATAGCTCTTAGGGGAAGGAAGAAGGAAATGGTGAGAGTATCCAGACTGAAAGACCAAATGTATAAAGAAAATCCACTCAGAACTGTGCACGCAAAGGTGGAAGCCACACAAACAGGAAACAAACTAGGATGACTGAATGGGGAAGCATCCCAGTCCAACCAAGACCATCTGATATGAGGTTTCTTAAGTAAATGTTCACATTGCAAACTCTCTCCTTGTTCTTATGCAGAATTATAAATTAAACAACATGAGAAAGGAATTAAACACTGTATCTTCTGAGCAGTTTATAAGAACCAAAGGAACACCATTTCCATTTTCTTGCACACATATGGTCCAACGGCCCCAGTATGGAGCCATTTAATGAAGGAGGAGTTTAGAAACCAGAAGCTGGAAATACTCTGACTAGTCCTAAAATAACTGCTATTTCTGTGACCTAGTTTTGAATACCAATCTGTGGGGAAGAGAAGAAGCAAACATTACTCTTAGATCATTCTAGAAGTCTGCAGAGTTTTGCGTTCTGCATTTCCAAGGCATATAGCTTCCACATTACCTGATCTGTGCACCAGTACCACAGAGTAATGATGCTCAAACCAATAGTAAGCCCTGGCCATGGCAGATCTCCAGTGACAGCATCTCGGAAGATGTGAAAAGCATCTGCTCGAGGAGTATAGCATTTTGAATCAATCGTACTATTTCCATAGGTGATATTGGATGGAACTGCAGTCATATACTTCTCCATGAATGCATCATACCCTCCAACCTCTCTAAATGCTGAAAAACAGAAAGCAAAAGAAGTGATAAAGGATGTAACACTGACATCTCAAGTAGAGCCAGACAATGTGAAGAGAAAAACACTGTAACAGTGATGAACAAAACCCTAGAGAGTATATGTATATATGCATTTTCAGAAAATAGTATGCAGTGTTATGTAAGCATTCACACCATGAAGTATTCAAAGTGACCTTCATTTTTTGGTTTCTGTGTATCTTTCAAAGACTGATTTAAGCTCCACAGTCTCAACATCTCATATACATGCATTCTGAGAAGTAAATTGAAGATTATTTCCGCACTCTATTAACCCAGGGAAAACCAAACAGCAGGATCTTACCAGTTACTTCTGTTGTAACAGTGGTGGATTAATCTAATTTCAGTGAAAGACCTGTCTAGAGGAAAACTAAAAACTGAGTAGCTAGAAATGGGAGGAACTGAAATTTAATAGAATCTTATCACTCCATCTTCCTCTCTTACGATCCATTTCTATTAGTTCTGTTTCACAGCATGCTTTCAATTTTAAAGTGCATATGGGCTTCTGGACACACACACTGTTCTATCCATAGACATGCAAGGCGTAGTTCTTCTTCAACTGCCAATATAATGACATCCACAGGTCAGCTACAAGGCTTACTTAAGGTGTTAGATTTAGGGGCTGTTTTAACACAAGCTTGCAGCTAGAAACACAGAAAAACCATGCAATGTGGCCAACAGTTCTTCATTTTGAATCAGAAATTTCAAGCATTAGCATCTGAAAATCTATGAAATTATGATCTTCTGGAAGAAAGTTAATCTCTGAATTTCTGAGGAGTATCATCAGCAACTCCACCTTTACCTCGTTACCCATCACTAGTCCTGTTCTCTCATAGGATGTTACACAGTACCTTATGCATTCACCTGTTCTTTGGAATGGAGCTGTCTCAATGACCAAATTGCTGGGCAACATGCCCACATCACTCCCTGATAAAACAGGCATAAGAACTGAAATTTGCTAGTTAAGACAACAGGGCTCCACACTGCAGGATCAACTGCTGTCAGTGCTGTGATTTACTTACCAAATCCCATGAGAATGAAAGATCCCACAACCATGATAAACGTCTGCAAGGTATCTGTGTAAATCACAGCTGCGAGGCCACCTAATGGCAGAACAAACAGGTCAGCCCCTCTGCAAATGCCTCACTGAAAATCTTGCTTCTTTTTTTTCTTCTTTTATTCATTATTTCTACCTCTCTCTTTCAAACAAAGATCACTGTAAAACACACCCCTTTCGAGTTTTTATTTTTCTCATCTTATCCACCTCCCCTGTTTTCTTTTTCCTGGCTTCTCTAACTTAATTACTTTATTCAGGCTGCTCTGCAAACTCACCTGTGATGGTGTAAAGAGCAGTAATACCAAGCAAGATAATAATAGCCAGATACAGATTCAGACCCATGGCCAACTGTATAAACACAGCTCCAGAAAATATGTCTGCCTGTGAGAGATGAAAATGATACATATTAGGAAAGGGGTAAGTTCTGTGTGATGGCACATCATACATTCATGATTGGATTACTGAAATACACAATCCCTTACAGCACTGCACCAAAAAAAAAAAAAAAAACCAAAACCAACAGCAAAATGAAAATAGAAGTTGTTCCTCTCAGAACTGTGGCTCTCTCAGTATAAGAGCCGAGTAACATTTCTCAAAGAACTCCCAGATATTTAGCAGCAGATCATTTCAGCTGGAGACAGTCTCCTCCTCACTACTGTGTGCATCCACGCTGAGGGACTCCAATAAAGTTGGGAACTCACTCACTGCTATGCCCAGGGCTGGGACTTGTGATGTCTCCAAGATACAGCATGGCTCTTCCTTTAATGCCAATAAGTCTCTCCCTTTTTCTTCATTGTTTACATACATATGCTATAGCTAGTCTCACTAGTTCAGGATACATGGGAATTAAAAGCAAAGAATTTATCACAAATCTGAGGTTCCTGTCAGAATAATTGACAAGTCATTCGCTAACAGAAGAGACCTTTGGCTCTTGTGTGAAAAAGGAGCTATTCAGAATAACAATCTATTTCTTACTGAGATTTTAAACACATTAAATAATCTTCTTAATTAAAAATATTCTGCATCAAGGTTATTCACCTAAGTTTACAGTAAGACTGATCTACTCCAATGCATTTCTAATGAGTTGCCATTAGTCCTCCTTTCCTTAGAGGTCTGTATCTCCTGGACCCAGATGAAGGATTCAGACCCAGTCCCACCTGCATGCCTTCTTTCTATATGCCACTCTTCCCATACAAAGGCACAATAAAGGGAGTCAGCCTCACTTCACAGCACAAATCCTGATAGTACTCAAACATGCTCAGGAGCTACAAGGTACTGCACTGCAGGTAGCTGAAGCCAGGACTGCTTCACTCTGGGGAATGAGGTAGTGCTGACCAGTGCAGCAGGAGATCCTCATGCAGTGCCCCGATGTGCAGAAGACAAGCAGGAAGCAGGTGTGAGCCACAACAAGGGTTCCATTCCCCAAACCCTGCCCTGAAGCAGCTTGAGATGATTAAGTTTCTTACAGGCTTTAGGCTGAAATTAGGAATGAGGACTTTTCAGATTGTATCTCCCAGTGGCTGCCAGGTTGTGTCCTTTGTCCCTTATCCCTATGGGAATATTTTTTCCCACCTTTTCACACCACTGATCTGCTTACGTCCAAGTAAGTCTTTTATTGTTTTTGGCTTTAGTTTAGCCTACATAGCATTAAATATTAATGGTCCTAAAATGACCCTAGCAAAGAAGTATACAGTTAATTATTTAGTGTCCTGAGCAATTTATCAGCAACTTTGAATTGCTGTTACCTTCCAGCTTCGCTGCTCCTCCCTCCCATCAGATTATTTCCTTCCAATATTTCCTTATTTATCCACAAATAGCCTTTTATTGATACTATTTAATCCTTATCTCATCTCTGAATAATCTTCCCATTGCAAGCTCTTTCTCCAAAGCCACGCACAGCTCCTGTGGAACAATTGGCAGAATGCATTATAACTAACTTGGAGCCTTCATATATCACTAGAGGATCCAGCTCCAATGTAATGAACCCCAGTGCTCTACAATTTATTCTACACTGTGAAGTTCTAAGATAAGTTTATCTTTCTTCCTCCCTTTATGTTGGTAAACCTATGCCCTGATTTCTCATAAATCTATTTATGATTTCTTCAGAATTTAATTTGTTTTTGTCTTATCATAATTGAGTTAATTACTCTTGATTTTATTTTCTCTAGACCATATTCTTCAGCACAATGGCCAATATCAGCATACAGTTATAAAGCAAGGCCTTGACAGCTGCCAGGGGCTTTGGACTCACAGTACTGCACGCATAGGAAGCAGGCACACGTGAGATGCTTGTGCAGCCAGCTGAAAATCATTTGGGCTGAATGATGGTGTGTGTCCTGATCCCAAAGATCCTTGCAGCATAGCCTTGCCTGACAAGTGTTGATAGCCACAAAACAAAGAAACAAGGAAAATACAAAGAAAATGTTCAAGAAAAGACAGAAACAGTAATAATCTTGTCCAGATATGTGCAAAGAGAATCTAATCATCACAGAGCAGTGGGCAGCATGCCAGAGAGAGCAAGCCAGGAGTTACATGGCCTGACGCATTTTCTAATTCATTGGAATGTACCTTGATTATAATATTACTAAGAACATTCGATAATATTATATCAAATGAAGGAATCAACACGTGAAATAACTACCCTGAAAACATGCCACTCTTCTTCTAGGATAAGTGGCAGTTAAACTGTGAGGTGTGACTGCCTGTCAAGGGCAGGGCAGAAAGATCCTTCTACACCAAATCTCACTAAGCCCAGGTGACAACAAAGGAGTGTTTGGAAAAGTGGCGGTCGAGGAAGTAAAATGCAAATCTGCAGGTTGGACAGGGCACAGATTGACAACACATGGGTATGTCTGCAGATGTAATGTGTCTCTGTGAAGAGAGACCCGTGTTAGCTCTGTGCAGTGCATACGTCTCTACACAGCACAAAAAAGTTAGATATGGTCCAGGATGGAACAGCCCTTCCCTTTGTGCTCCAGGAAATGCTCATTTGATGACAATTTGGGCCCAGTTTTGCATAGCATGGGACAGAAAAACCTACTGTTACTTCCTCTGGCAGTACCTGAAACCTCCAAAAACTGCTTTTTGCAAATAAAATACAGCAAATTCTGCTCTGCTGAATATAGCCACATAATGCAACAATGCAGAAAATGTTTGATGCTACAGAAATCAGGGCCGTATTTGTACGTGGAATTGACAGTGTCAGAATAGTTACAGCAATTCTACACCAAATTTTCTTCTGCCCAGTTCTGTGGCAAATCACCACATACATCTGGAGTAACTAGGCTCATCAGAAGCTGGGGTGGTACAGCGGGGTGCTGGTAATCTGCTGCTATATGGATTTTTTCACTATTGCTTTGCTCCCACAAGTGCACAAGAAGGTGCTTCAGCCTTATGATCACATGGGAAGTTTAAATGGAGAATGTGTCTTGCCTGGAATTAAGACACCTCTAGTGAAACAGGATGAAATCCCATGACTAAACTCTTAGGCATGATAAGGCTGGGAGTAAAAGACTAAATTCAGAACCTCCTTAATGGGCTTATTGCAAATGTGTTGCAGAATGGGACTGAGTCATCTGATTGGAAATGTTTCTCAGCTGCTAGAACTGCCAGAACTCTGTGTCATGTGCAACATACCTGGGATTTCTGATTATGGTAGTTAAGCGCAACAACAGTAAATTTAACTGATCCTTTTGAACTATACAGAAATCCAGCTTTGGGGCCAGCCACATAGCACCAACCTGTTTAATTTATAACCTCTGCAAGGATCAGTTATCGTGAAGATGTGAGAATGAGAGCAAAAGGCCAATCTTTTAGCTTAAATTGCACTATTATCACTTAGCTCCCATGCAGAGGGCAAAGAGTAATCTGCCATGGCAACTTCTGAAAAACAACAGACTGAGGTATACCTGAACTGTGGACTTCTTCAAAGGCTTAGTAGTTTCAAGACATATGGAAAATACCAGCTCCCTTCACTATTTCACAGCAGCACAACCACATGCTTAATAAACATTAACTTTATAGCAACTTAAACTTTATAGCAACCATTTACCCATTAAAAGAATCTCTTCCTTTCACCTCAGCTGTTACCACTTCCTTTGCATTTTCCCATCTCTTGTTCTCTAGTTTCTATCATTCTCATTTTTTCACTGCTCTTTTGCGCTTTTCCCTCAGCTATGTGTATTGCTATGGCATGTTCAGCAGAGTGAAGGATGAATATGGACAAAAGGATATGGATGAAGGATGAATAGGGACAAAAAATCCTGTTCCTTGAAAACCCAACAGCACTTTTCTCCAAAAAGTATTGCTCGTTCTCCTAGCAGAACAAAGGTTTGGCATGGGATGCTGTGTGCCCAAATCGATGGCAAAAAGATTCTAAAACTAAATGGTTAAACAAGCAGCAGCTATTATTCCTCAGACGATTCAAGGAGATCAAAATGTACAAACTCATAGGATGTGAAAATTTTCTCCCATATTTCATAGATCCCTAAACAACAGAGTGCAATACAATACAAGGTTCCTTCCATTCTTGCCTATTCTAGAAGTAAACCTTAAAAACATTAAAAAAAAAAAAAAGAGAGAGAGAGAGAGAAAGCCCAACAAACACCAAGAAGAAAGTCTTCCTAGAGACGTTCAAGGAAGCCAACAAAACTCAGATTGCAAAACAGATCTGCACACATGATCTCTCTGTACAGAAGAAAATACACGTACTGTATGTATTACACGTTTTACTCCTTAGTTCAATTCGACCTCATTCGGAAGCAACAGAGTCAATTGTGTGCATAATAATTGTAAATGGGAATTTCTTTTATTTAGATCAACTTTGGATTGAAAAATTGTTGCAGAAGTTATACTTACTGAGATCTTTGTGAAAATATACAGGACCAGTGAAAGGACTGACAGGTAGACCTGAATCCGTTTCCCACCAAATCGCTTCCTCAGATACTCCGGCATTGTCACCACCTGCAGGGTGGGTAGATAAGGTCTCATACAACAGGGCACGGATACAAAGCAAGTCAGAGGAAGCTTTTTGCTACTCAGATACTGTAGGAGTGGGAGGCAAAGGGAGGGAGCTGCAAATGCAGCTCCAGGAATCAAAGGAGAACAATAGCAGAGTACCAAACACATTTCAGGTCTCAGAATTTGAGAATCATCATTACTCATATACATATAGGTAATATAGACAGGTTCTAATGTGATCAGATCTCCTGTGCTATTCATAATGGCTTTGCAATACTTCAGACCTGATCCACAAACAAGAGAGAGGAAAATTAAAACAAACAGCACAGGAAAACATAACGCTGTTTTTACTTACCCCAGCTTTGATGTAGATGGGTACAAACAGCCATCCTAGAACAACCACAAATATCAGAGCCTGCAGTCAAGACAAGATCAGCTGAATTAGCTTCCTTTCTCTAAGACCATTTATCAGACCAAACTGCAGATAGAGACCACTGAGCCCACTCAAACCTGGTTACTCTGGGGCTGCAATGGGTGTTGCTCGATCCTTTGTCTTACAGTTGAAAATCTGGGAATGAAATCCTGGCTAAGAGATTTGTCACACATTGTGGAAACTGAATTGCATGCTCAGTTTCCAAAAGCAGCACACATGATAATACATTTTGCAGAAAAACTGCTGATTTCTGCTCGTATGTTTGCCTTCTAGTATCAAAATGCCACCCTACTAGGAATGCTAACTTATTCCAGCTGTCCTCAAAGCATGCTGTTAAAATGCAGTCAGCTCATAAGTCCACAATTTCTGGGAAATATTAAAGAAGGATTAATTAAGTCTAATAACTGAGACCTAGTTGCTTCATCCCAGGTACAGAGTCAGACTACCTTTCCTCTCAGAGTCAGCTGTGCTGCAGTGGTACCTCGTGATATCAGCAATCCTAGGAATGGGGTAAAGAAGTGCTTTTGATACCTCTTTAGCTTCTTTCTGCACTGATTCTCTGTGAGATGTCTGTGTGTTTTACAAGGCACAGTGTATTACAGTGATCCCACACACTATACAATTTGTACTACAAGCATTTAGTAAAGGATTTGGTATTTCCACATTATCATTGCTCAGTGTATTTTGAATTGCCATGTGCATTTTGTGAACTATAGATCTCACTGTATTTTGGTGTCAGTTTTCTGACTGAAATGGCTAGTAAATTCTCCCTAACAGAGTAGTACACAATTAGACAAACAGAGAACAACATTCTGCTCAAAATTCTACATTTTTTCTGTCCACTCATGAGGTTGTTTTTGTTTTCAGTAACATTATCTTTTGAGTTTTGCCTTTAAATCAAAGATGAGAAATGGACAAGAAAGAGTGGTTCAGCATCTGCTATCATACTAATGTAATTTAGAAGTAATTTCATGGAATAATACTAATACCAAGCAGTATAATAGTCAATATTTCTTTCAAGAGGAGAATTGAATTATACAGTCAACAATCTCTCTGTCATAATTATTTGAGGAACTATGTAGTGTAACTCTCCAAATACATGCATGCATCAATGCTTCTTCCTAAACAACAATTGTTGTACTCTGTATATTTACATCAACCCATGGAGAATCTCCCAGGAGACAAAGAGTTAGATACGGATATGTTTGAAGGAGGATGTGTGTCCTAGAGCTTTGAATGCTGTGAAATTTCAAGTAACGTTTGTTCTGTTTTCTTTTGCTTAGTTTTTGTGCAAAGGGAAGAAGAAAGATGACAGATTAACTGTCTCATAATCCTTTTTAGCCTTTACTGTTCTCCTTAAATACTTATATAAGCACCTGAATATTATAGTATGCTTCTTTCACTGCACAGAATTAAATGCAAGGAAACCTATGTAATGCTCATTAAGTTGTTTGTGTTTTGGTATAATCCCTTCCACGAACGTGAATCAAGCATCGTAAGGTCATTGTTATCCACACCCACAACATCTGAGAATTCGAGGAAATGCATTTAATCAGCTCATGTGAATCTTCATGCTGTCACAGTTAATACTGCTGCTGGTACCCCAAGCAGTTCATTTTAAGTCAGCTTGGATATTTCTGTTCTACATGGCAACCGTAAGTGGAACACATACAGTCAGAAGAAGGGGAATCTAAAAGGGAAAAGAGTTTTAGAATGTAGGTGATTGTGAAGGATGTCCCAAATTTCCTGTAGCCTGTGAAGAAATCAAAGCCTTTTCAACAATTTCTAAATAGCAAACTGCAGTAAAAAATAAAATATAGTGGATTACAATACCTACTAACTCTTCCAGACATCCTACAATCTGAGAGTGCTCCCTATCAATAACTTAATGTAATCAAACGATAGAATAAGAAGAGAATCCACTGATTTCTTTGGGTCAAACATTTACTAAAAAACTTCATTCAACATAAAAGGCCATCATCTCCCAGTCACTTAGACAAGGACCAAAGAAGATAACTAGGAGACAACACTGGCATTTGTAGACCTGTACAGAAACAAGTATTGCCGAGTAAATTTTGACAGCATAAAATTATTCAATAATGGCACCTTGATTAACCTGTGCAGATAATTCTGATGTCACAAATATGTTCACCCAAACGCATGCCACTTACATTCCATTCATACCCTCCAATGGCAATTCCTCCAGCTGCTGCTGTTCCTGCTATGCCCACAAAATGTCCACTGCCAATGTTACTGGCGAAGAGTGAAGCACCAATCTGGAAACAGAAAGAACAAGACTTGATTCTTAAGGTCAGTTCATGACAACTTGAAAAAACCATGTTCACTTGACATTTTGAACTCAGGCCTGTCTACCCTCAAGTAGTGACAATGAGAACGAATGACAACCAACTTCCTTGACTACTTTCAAGACTATTTCATTGTTTTTCTCCATCCCCCATCAAATCTGAAACTTTAGCCCTCATATCTAGAACACGAAGTATGAATACAAAGCTGCATAACTCTTCTTCCAACTGAGACATAGGTTATGACCCAAAATAGACTTTCAAATATATGCAAAACTTGACCAACTGACATTTGGGTGATACACATACAATTAGACAGGAGCACAGATCTGCCTTGCTCAAGGAGGAAACAATAAGTGCACACGTGTCAAACCTGCACTCCTGTTTCATACTGAAGTTCTGCAGACTGTGGGACTAATTGTGCAATCAGTAAGAGTTGTACAGATTTCACAGTTGTTTGACTTTTAGTCAAAAGATATTAGATTAACTTAATTAAATTCTTCAAGCTATACGGCTGAGAGCCCTTCTGGAAGATGCTAAATAAAGCAAATAAAGGAGCTGCATTGATGGAAGGCTGCAAAGACCTCCAGACATTGCAATGATCCAGCAGACAGAATGGGGGGGGGAACACAAGAAATGCTGATCAGAGAAAGAGCAAGACCAAGAAAGGTTTAGGCTGGATTGCTGACAAGGCAGGAGCCACTCAGAAAGAAAAGGTTTGAGGTAGTCCTCTAAGCTGAAAGACCTAAAAGTCTTGAAAACATTCCTTTACAACCATAAATACAGGATCTGCACCCGCACATTCTTCTTATGTAGATCCCAAATACACTTGCAATATGTTTGGAGTTACCTTACAAGAGGGAGAAATATTCCTTGCCTGCAACTCACTGGTTGATTTGTAGGGTGCTAAAATATATGTGGATGTATTTACAAATCTCCAGGTCTGCAATCAATGCAGTGAGTCCTTTGTGCAGCAGTAAAAATTAAATCAATCTTCCTGAGAGCACAAGATTCAGGAGGATAAAAGCAATTTCATCATAGAAATCCACTCTGAAGATCAGGCTTACTCTCTAGAGCTACACCATAGCCAGGAACAGCACTCACACCCTTCGTCTTGTAATTGGAAATCACAAAAAACAGCTTCTCCTCCTTGCTACATACAATTTGTTGCTACATGCAACAAATCATTCATCCTTATACTGCTTCTTTCCCAAGCTTTTTTCTTCCTTTCTGCTGTTGGATCCCCTGTTACCTTCTAGTCCTTGTGCAGGAGTAGGGGAATTTCTGTCTAAGTTCACTTTGTTCTGCTCCTTTTTACTTTTTTTTTTTTACAGCTTTCTAGAAGTCAGTTGTGCCCTACAGAAATGTAATCAGTTTGTCAGATTAAATATATTTCCACAGGAATGACAAATCTTGTAACAGGCATTAGCAAATAAGTCAGAGACATTACTCATAATAGAAAAAAACTTCTTTTAACCACTTTGTGACAACAACAACAGTGTTTTCTCAAAAATAACTGTGAAGAAACAAATATTGTACTAATACTAGACATTGGTAACTGCTGTCTGGTGTTCTCCCTGCAGATGGAGAATTAAACTTTAATTTAGGTTATCAGAAATTGCACTCACCAGAAAAGATTAACCACATTAATCCTTGATTTTACTTAATGTGTTCCCTCTCCTGTTCCAGAAGTTTGAAAGATGCTGCATGCAGATCTAAGTAATACAAGCAGCTAATGAAAAACTCTCAGAAAAGAAAGCTACAGTGGGATTTGTCTCAGTGCCTAAAAACAGAGGGCACAGCATAGCAATTACTGGGAATGTGTTCAAATTCCACACGGAGTACAATTGTGTTTTAAGAAAAATAGGAAACCAAACAAAGCAATGCAAAATTACCAACACATTTAGGATGAAACAATGCCAGTGCACATATCACTTTCAATTTCTAAATTTTGTTTTCTGAATTAAAGAACACCTGGTACAGCAGAACTACACAATCAGTCCGTAAGAATGGACACAATCACCAAGGGTAGAACGTGGCATCGTAGCTGGGAAGCGTAAATTAATGAGAACTGCAGTTAAAACTGGTTAAAGAGAGAGGAATGTCTGCCAAATATGCTTGTGCCCAGCGAGCTGGACGAGATGGTCCTTTTGCCTTTGCTGGAGTGAGCACAGAGCACACCAAGGTGGAACAGGCTGGGTGTTTGTGTCTGCCCTCTTTCCTGTGTGTTACTGAGAGAGCAGATCTTTGTATTTCAGTTCCTCCATGTGCATGGCTGTAAGCCAGAGGATGGGCTGAAGTTGGAATGTTAGCCATTCTCAGCAACATGTTGGAGAATTGATTTTTACAACAGATAGAGGAGGAAAAGTAAAGAGGAAAGTTGATTGAAAGGAGCAAAAGCTGTTAGGACGGAAAGAGGGCAAAAAACTGAGCTAACCTGGAATGTGGAACATTAACTCCTTTCAAATCTTTTAAGGAGTCAGGTTTTAACAAGAGCACTCTGTTCAGGAAAAGTACTATCACACTGCAGGCAGATGATGATCATTATGTTTTTTCCGTGTTATTCATTAACTGATTCACTTGGCACTTTTCATTAACTTTAGGATGCACTGACATCCTGGCACTTGCTGTTCCAAACCATATATACAGTGCTCTTTGCAAATCAGTGACTACTGCCATGGCAGTGTGCACACTTTTCAGTTTATGCCTTTCTTTTCTCCCTCTCAGGATCATACATATCCTCTATTCCTAATGTCTGCTTTCCTGTTTGAAAGCACTAGTTCAGTATCAAACATTTTTTCTCAACCTTGATCATGCCTTCCCTCCAGCACAGAGTACCTGCCCTCAGCCACTCCACAGAGAACAACAGAGAAGCTCCTTCACTGCAGCATGAGGTCACTTCTCGGAGTCACCTGCAGAAGATGCTTCTCAAATCCCTCCTCTCTGACAAATTTCTTATTCCCATTCTTGAGAACTACTCTCCAACAGTTTCCATACCTCTCTTTTAACCCACAGCTGTGACTGTATCCTGTAGTAAAGATGCTTCCCTACTGGAGTTTTATGAGATCATTTTCAGTCACTTTGGAAAAATCAGTTTGATGCTTACAGTAAAAATACTACTGTGACTTTTCCAAGGCTCTGAGACCCAAAGAAATCACAGAATGGCCAGGGTTGGAAGGGACCTCAAGGATCATGAATCTCCAACCCC